AAGGACAGCAGCTTGCAAAACAAGTCTCTCTGTGTCCAAGACCTTACAGAATACTTGCCAGCTTGATCAAGGAAAGATCTGCCAGGTCATAAGGTTGTTTCCTCACTACTGCCACTCAGTTTCTCTTAAGAAACCATACCTATGCTTGGAAGGACATAGGGAATGCAGCCCAATATATTTCAATAAAAGCCACCAATGACAAGACATTTGTACCTAGGAGAGATGGATTCAAATTGTAGCAGAACTAATGAACTTACTGGGTGACCTCTCCCAGCTCATTGCTCTACGCCATTCTTCTCGAACCTACTGTATATCAAGTGGGTTCCAGAGCCTCTATTCTCTCTCTCTCTCTCTCTCTCTCTCTCTCTCTCTCACACACACACACACACACACACACACACACACACACACACACACTTGCCCTCGCCGAGATGAACTTGTAATGAGGTCAGAAAATAAAGAATGTTCACCACCCAAATGCACAATATATCCATTTCATCAAAGCTGCATAGTAGTATTAGACAATATCCTATTAACTTAAGACAGTATCATATTATCTAAGCCATCCCTAGCATTCACATGAAAACCCCAGAGAAGGTTCTGTTACAATGAGTGGAAAACTATGCCTGTCCAGATGGTGTTGGAATGCATTTCCCATCAAACTTAACCAAGACAGCTAATGGTCAAATATTTTCAAAATGTGATTTATAATCTATATTTCTCCATGAACTGGGACATAGAGTGGCTCATAATATAATTAGAAACCAGCAGAAATATAAAACATACCAAACTATGATATCCATCGTATTGTTCAAAAGAAAACTAAGACAAGCGCTTAATGCATAATGACTAGGAAATAGGGAAGTTGCGGCCCCAAAATATCTGGAAGGGATATCTGTGCTCCTATACCAAAAAGGTCCCAAAGTATCTGGGAGGTCATCATTCTCTGTTCCTATTCCAAACAGGTCCCTAAGCATCCTATACCATTGCTGATCTGCTCTTGTTAATTCTGACACACGACTCTACTTTTCATCTTACAAACTTAGAGTAGAACCCACAGGACTCTTTCATAATCTTCCACCCAGTCAAGACCTGCTTAGTGTTAATTGTGTCCTGGCATCGCATACCTTCAAGACTGTCTTCTGATCCCTTAGCAAAATGTCTTTAAGCAAACATTACCTTGGAGAAGGCAAACACCAAGAAACAGCAAAAAAACAAACAAACTATTTTTCCTTAAGACAGTTTGCACCAATACAGGAAGACTGGAAAATAGAATGTACCATAATCTACTTTAATCCCTGTTCTGTACTTGCAATCAGATTAAAATATTGGGTTTTTTTAACTCTCCATGATCAGGACTCCTACAGAGTGGTAACAACCAAAAACATATACAGTATAAAAATATCTTCACTGTGCACAGGCATTTAAAATGTATTCGTAAAGTGTAAATGAGTGAGACTTTGTGTGCACTCTTAAGTTTTTTATTCATGTTTGAAAATATGCATATAGCAAGACAATGGATCCATGAAATAATGAGTTTAAATTCAAAATCACAGATATGAAAGAAGGTATTGTCAGTACAAGATAGAATAAGAGTTGCATAATAGGTCTATATATAAGTTCAATAAAGTACTCAGATCTAGATGTTAACATGTCACATAATGTAGAGGACTAATGATATCAGTGGTTCATAAACCTATTCATCCTCCTACTGAATATGTGTTGTCAACTGTCAACAATTAGCTGTTGGACAGATCAACTTCAAAAGAAAAAAAGTTTACAAATACAACTTTACAAATGGCAACAGGAAGAAAAGTTACTACGTTTCACTGCCCCCCTTTAAAAAAACTTTTCAAAATGATCGAACTACACTATCCCAGCAAATTCAATTCTGTTCATTTTGGCCTTCATGGAGATAAAAGATTATTGTATATAACTATTGTTCCCCTCTTGCATATTGTTGAACTGTGTATAGGAATGTCACTGGCCTTCTATATGTCTTCAATTGCATAGCCCTTTGCTTTTACCATATATACTTTTTCTTTGATTTACCTGTTTATGCAAACACATGAGGGATGGATATCCATATGGCATCTTAAAATAACATCTTATAAAATGACCCCTAGTTACAAAAAGTTAAACCATTATAAAAATTTAGCCTCTAAGATGCTACAAGTGTCTTCCTTGTTTTTGCTGCAATGTACAACTGCTGCAATCCTATCCATTTGACACTAAGCCACAACAGGACTTGCTTCTGAATAAACAAGCATAGGATATTGCCAGAACATAAATATCCTTAATACAGCAGAGAAGGGAAAATACCATGCACATTATTCTAAACAAACCCTAAGAGCCCAGTTACCCTTTTATCTAGCTTATTGTAGACCGTCCTATGCCTCATTTCCTTACCTACTTCCATCTAAAGGGCAGGCAATGAAAGGACATGAAACAATGGCATTCAAGCAGAAAAGAATGTGTAATCCTGGCTCATTCCTTTGGAAATAAAATCCCACCATACTGTATATTTACACAAGTGAACAAAATGCTTGTTTGCAGCCTCTTTAGAACAGGAAGCTGGATGGAGGACACAGGTACTAGTTATATCTTTCCTAATGAACCATCTTCTCACATATAGAATGACAGGAAAGAAGAGACTGGCAGCTAATTTTAAAAAAAGGCATAAGGGAGGGAGGGGAAGAATAGAGCCCCCCTTTTGTTTAGGCACTGATGGAGAAAGTCAAAGACAGTTGGCATTGTCCGAAAGAAGAGGTATCTCTACTTTTTAGTAGGCGGGGAAATGAGGAAGTGCCAGAGTGAAACTGAACCACTCCCATCATTCTGTAGACACACAAAAGTTGACATTTCACATTCTAATCTTTGGATGCAAGTAGGATAGACAATTTTACCCCTGGTAAAATTGCCCCTTTCCTCTTGCACCTTCAAGCAGCTGTGCAGCAAAGAATAATAATACTGTAATTGTGTGTCATCAAGTCAATATGGCCATTCTTTTCAGGGTTTTCTAGGTAGAGAGTGTTCAGTCTGCCGTTCCCTTCCTTCTGGGTGCACCGTGGGACAGTGCAGCTTGCTCCAGGCCAGGCTCTGCTAGGAAGCACAGTGGGGAATCGAACTCCCTCTGCCGCTCCCTTCCTTCTGGGTGCATGGTGGGACAGTGCAGCTTGCTCCAGGCAGGCTCTGCTAGGAAGCACAGAGGGGAATCGAACTCCCAACCTCTGGTTCTGCAGCCAGATAACTTCCATAACTCATTAAGCAATCCAACCAGCCATAGCAAAGATCGCATAAAGGCTGCCTTTGTGGTCTTGCACCCATGGCAAGAAAAACTTTGTTCTTCAATGTTAACTTTATATTAGATGCAACAGGACCCTTGCCAAAAAAATAAATGTTAGCAACCAGTTGTTCAAAGGACAAATCCTACTGTTTGCTTGATAAAGGCTGAAAATAGCAAGGCTCTTTCTGTTGATGTTGGGGGGGACTGGGGATGCAGAGAAAGAAGGGCTGCAGCTCAGTGGCAGAGCACATGCTTCGGGAGCTAGAAGTCTCAGGTTCAAATGCCACTGTCCCCGTTTAAGGCTGGAAGAGAATCCTGCCTGGAACCCTAGAGAATGGCTTATATTCACAATTAATAGCACTGAGCTAGTTTGACGAACGGTTACGTTTTCACAGTGAGGCAGTTCCATGTGTCTTGTGGGCAGGCACTGCAGACTAGATTGTTCACCTGTTTCAACTAAAGTTGTATTCCTCTCAAGATAGCTGAGTGGCTTAGGTCTCAAGCCAGAGGTTGGGCGTTCAGTTCCCCACTCTGCCTCCTTGACAGAGGCTGGACTCGAAGATCCATAGGATCCCTTCCAGCTTCGCAGTTCTATTATCATAAGATGCTACATTCCTCTCTGACTGTATGCTGTTGAGGCAGACAGAAATTCAACAGGTCCTTATTTTCCATCTTTTTTTTTTCCAGAAAGATGGCAGAAACTACACCAAGCTTCATCGCTATTAAAAGGCAAAGCAAACAGTTCTTTGATGGGAAGAACCTAACAAATTGATTCTCAAGGGAAGTCAAGCATGAGAATCACATGGAGATGAATGGAAAGTGCTCTAACGATTACCCAAGCATCCTCTGCTTAAGGGCGGGCTTCTCCAAATACAAGCCCATCTCTGAGCTACACAGTATGCCCCATGGGATTATTCAACTCCATTATCCAGGCATGAGTGTGTGTGCCAGAAACAGAGAAAAGCAGCGAGCCCGACGCCTCCACACACGAGGTGCCTTTACAATTCAACAAGCAAGGACAGAGAACTAATCCAAAAGGCCCAAGCACACCTGCCATGCCACCCGGCAGGGTGTGGAAAGAACACAATGCCGGCCAAGTTGACCCAGCCAACTAGTCCAACTGTGTCATGGCTCAATTATGCATGAACTTCCTAACATTTGTCCCAGGGAGTTTTAATTCCTAACTATAGCTGCACATGCCAGCATGGGCTGTGGCGTCCTAACCTTAGGGCAAAGAAAACTCTGCACATGCACAAAGTAATCGCTGGGCGTTAAAGGAAATCTCGCACTAGAGGAAGAGGGTTCTCTTCTCAAGACCCTGCCCGGAGGCAGAAACCTCTCTTCACTGCAAACGACTCTCAACCTTTTAGCCATCCATGCTTAGGGTTGCCTAAAGGCAAGGCGAAGGAACTTTGCACGCGCTCTAAAGAGCAATCGCCAAGCACTGAACTGTGGTTGTCCAGTGAATAAGTTCTTGCCTTGAGGCGGGGTTCCTTCTTCACTCCCAACACCTCTAATCCGTCTCGGCTCCGCAACCCTAGATCCCAATCCACCGGAAGTAGGACCGGAGCAAAGTCTTCCTTTCAGAGCATCTTATCTAAACCTCAAGTTTGCCGCCCAGGCGACTGAACTCCTCTTTCCCCAGCAGCATCTCCGGCTCTGGCAGCGCTCTCTCCACCCACCCACCCCCGCTCTCCACACCATCCCGTCTTACCGTGATTCGACTTCGGCTTCAAGGCTCCGAGGAGCTGCACCCGGTCAGCCAAACACTGCAAAAGTAACACCACTCCGGCCACCGTGACCGGGGCTCCCCAAAGCTTCGCCATAGCGCCTCCCGGCTCGGTCTTCCTCCGGCTTTTCCCTCTGGGCACGGCTTTGGGCGACGAGGCAGATGCGCGCAGCGAGGCTCCTCGCCTTCCCTCCCCCGCGCACTTCCCTCCTTTAAATCCCGACTAAGGCAGGGAGAGTCACTCTTTTATATTATTATTCCGAATACGATCCGATTTTTTTTACTGAATCCGGGAGCAGACCAGGCGCCTGCGTATCCACACAACCCCGAACGCCTTCTTTTTCCAGTCCGCGTGGCCAAAACGGGGAGCTCAAGCCAACAACATAACAAGGAGGGGTGGCGGGGAAGAGGATGTGTGTGTCTTTGCAGGCGTGTGTGAACACGCGAAATCTCCGATTCGGCCGCGAAGTGCCCAAACTATCCTAAACTGGGAAGGAGTGGGTGGGAAAAAAAGGACTGGGGAAGAGGGAGAGGTTTTTCTCCCCTCGCACCCTGTGTTTGCTTATCCCGATCGGATCTCAAAGCCAGCAGGAGGGGGGGGCTTCGAGGAAGAGGAAGGGGGGTCGTTCCTTTTTTCGCAACGCGGCTGAAGTAACAAAACAAAAATGCGCCTCCCGGAGTGGAAGAGCGCTGGACGTGCGTTCTTCCAGCCCACAATTCATCAATTCGCGGTCTTCCGGCGGCGCGGCTCGGTAGAAGGAGAAATCCGAGAGGCCGATCGAGTGCTCTCAAGGGACAAAGCAAAGCTCCTCTGCGCCTCTACCTTCCCTGTGTAAAGATGGGATGGGATGGGATGGGGGAGGTTTCGCCTCAAAGCACCGGTCCCCGTTCTTCCGAGTGGCCTTAAGTCGATCAGGCTGCAACTGAGTCTTTAATAAAGGAAAGAAAAAAAGGGGGGCGGCGGAGGAGAGAGCGAGAGCCCTTCAGCCACTTCCCCTCCCTCCCAATTTGAAAAACAAAGCCGAGGAAGAGAAGCCGTTCACGGGCACACCCGGAGAGGGAACTTGCAAGAAGCCATCGGGAGATGCCGGCCCGCTTGCTCGTTCTCTGCCGAGCTGCTCAAGGAGGGCGAAAGCGACGCCTTGAGGGATTCTGGATGAGAAATAGTTGGGGTGCCGGTGGTGGAGGGGTTGGGGGGGGGCGAGGAAGCGGCCGAGGCACTCCCGGCGCGGGCGCCGCCTCCACCTCCTTGCTTTCCCCTTCTCACTTCAGAAATGTAGGTTTTGCCAGGATCCAGGCACGGCAAGAGCCAACCTCCCCCTCCTTCTCCCACCTTCCTCGGCCGGAAGCCAGCTGTCCCAGCCGCTGCCCTTCCCTGGAGGAAGAGCGACCGGGCAAGGCAGGCCAGAAGAGGGTGAAAGGGGGAAAAAAAGAGGGCGCAGGTAGCACCCCGCGCTTTCCTCCTCCTCACAGCTAGAAGCGGGGGCGGGGGCCGCGAGCCGAGCAGCGCCTCAGGGCAACTCGGTTCCCTTTTTACAGCTTCCTCTCTCTTATTGTCCTCCCGCCACAGGCAGATTGATCGCATGTGTCTCACTCGCTCTCCCTTTTCCACCGCCGGGTGGGCTGGAGGGACAGGGAAGGACAGAGGCTCCGGCTGTGGCCGCCCAGGCCGGGTGAGGGAAGGCGGGTCGCCCCGAAGGTGCCGGCCTGTCTCCCGCAAAACAAACATACACGCGCCCGGGTGTGGAGGGCTTTGGAAACGGAGCCCTGGGGGCGAATAAAAGAGCGCCAGCGACGCGGATTGGAAATGGGGAGAGGAGGGGAGGGGGAGAGGAGGGGGGGGACGAGAATGGTATTTAAACCGGGTTTCTGAGGTTCAAGCGGTGCTCAGAAGACGTTTTAAGAAGTCTTTTGAGGAGCAGCCGTGACCCCGGGAAACCCCAGTCTCGTGCTTGTCCGTGCTGTCCCTCATCCGAAGCCTGAAAAAGAGAAAATTAATTTGGACGCATTTGTTTTAGACTTCATTTTTTTCCTTAGCTTTCACCAGTAGAGTGATTTAAACAATAAAGTCATTAGAAAGCGGGATCAGCAATGGCTAGATGAGGAAACAAACGTTCGCAGGCCCTGGTCGGCCAACCTGACCAAATTTGTTTTTACTACCTGGGTGGGACCACACAGGTGACTAAAGCAACAACAGTAGGCATCAGTGTATTGCTTCCTTCATTTAAAAAAAATTGTATACTTGCTGTTTTTAGCTTTTTAAAAATGGTCTTTTTCATTTTGGAAGCCCCCTTGTGCCCTTTTAAGGAGAAAGGTGGGGTAAAATACTTTAAATAATTTAAATAAATAGTAAGCAAGCAAACAAAATTGTAGCTTCGAAAGCTTGCAGCTCTCCCTTCAAACTTTCTCACTGTGAATTTTTCTCCAGACCTGAGGTATAATTTGAATGACTCAGCCACTCAAGGCTGGTGTCTTAAGGCAAATTAAGAGCTAGCTCACCTCAGGTTTCAGCTACCTCAGCAGGCCCATGCTTGCTTGCCTCAATAAGTCAACTGCCCGCATTTCAAACTGGGTCCAGAAGGAAGTAACTGCAGCTAGGAAGACTTACTAACTTCCTTATTTATTTATTTAAAAATATTTTTACCCGACCTTTCTCCTTTAAAAGGACCCAAGGCAGCTTACATCATTAAAAGATAATATTTAAAGCTAACAACACAAATGCAAAAAAAAAAAAAGAAAGAAAAGAATCAAATGAACACCATACTAAAAAAGGGTAAACAAAAACACAACAAAAAGACATTCAAAGCAATAAGGTACAACAAATCCTTTCAAAAACTCCACTTAGGCAGCCAGTCTAGTGGGGAGGGGCGGTTGTTGGTGCTCCTCAGCTATGTTGTAGTGCAAATGAGTGACATGGAGGTGAACCTGTGCTTGAATGAATGGTTGTGAGAGTGAGTAAAAGGTTCCCCTTGACATTTTCAGTCCAGTCATGTTCGACTCATCCCGTTTTTCAAGACGTAGAGCCAGCGCTTGTCTGAAGACAGTTTCCATTGTCACCTGGCCAGCATGACTAGGGAACGC